AATCATCAAGAATCAAACTTCTAAGCTTCGATTAATCGGGTAAGGGTGTGAAACTTATTATTCTTTCGATGTGTATGATTATGTATGTTTCTATTGGTTTGCTTTTGGATTGGGGAGAGTTTTGCTCATTTTCCGTTTTAGGTTGAATTTGATTTAATCGATAGAAACTGAGTTTTTACGGTTAAAATGAGAATGAGTGGTAGAGTTTAGTCGAGGAATATTGGGCTAAGGCTACTGAGACGAGTTGGGATTGAATCGGGTAGATTTCGTTGAGTTTCAGAGTTTTGGACAATGGGGATTCTGAGTTCGCAGCACGTTCGTTAGGCGAGCAGGTCGCGAGCATTCGCTGTGGCGAGCCAGTAGCGAACGGTCCCAGACTTGGGCAGAATGGTTTTTGTGTTCTTCGCTGGTAGCGAAGGGGGGTGGCGAGCATTCGCTAGGCCTTCGCTGAGCGAGTGTGGTAGCGAACCAAGTCAGTGGCTTCTGTTTGCCTTTGCGAGCTTCTTCGCTAGGCGAACAGGTAGCGAGCACTCGCTAGGCGAGCAGGTAGCGAGCACTCGCTAGGCGAGCAGGGTAGCGAGCGTAGCAGGATGTTATTTTCTTGTGTTTTCACTTTCATGTCGATTCTTCGATTCAAGTATGATTAATCCTTTCTTATTATACATAATTGTATGTATTTGTATGATGTGAAGAATGCATGATTATATATTTGTGAATATGTATGCATTTCAAGAGTGTATGGAGTCGTTTTGCATATGAAGCATCATGATTGCATTCTTGTGTGTCTGATCCCACATAGGATCTGCAGAAACCTCGTGTGCCCTTGTGGGGTGTGAGCGACAGTTTATCTTTGATCCCTAGGAGGATCTGCAGAAATGGTCGTGTGCCCTTGTGGGGTGTGAGCGATAGTTTATATTTGATTCCGCGGAGAATCTGCAGAACGATTATGTGCCCTTGTGGGGTGTGAGCAATTGGATTGTGTGCCCGTGTGGGGTGTGAGCAATCCTGAAACATCGTGTGCCCATGTGGGGTGTGAGCGATGGGTGAACATCGTAGGCCCGACGGGGAGTTACTTCGGTAACGAGCGATGGTTCCATTTGGTTCTTCAATGAACCTGCTGAATGAGTCGGTACCGCATTTGCATCTGTATAGAGTTGTGAGTCGGTCTCTATGAGTGCATTATCATCTTCATATGATGTATTGGTGTAATGAACATAATTGTGTATGTTTATGTGAAGTGTTGAATTAGACATAATTGTATATGCTTAGTGGTGAATGTTTGCATGATGGATATGATTGATGAATTATATATGTGTTGCGATGTATATATGATTGAATTGTGATGTATTAAGGTGAGAAATGTGGTATGTGCATTCTATGTTGGTGCATATGGATATACATATTATATGCATTATTTGTTATGATAATGTTTCTCACCCTTCTGCTGTTTTATGATGCTCTATGAGGCATTGTAGAGTAGGTTGCTGGAAATCTTTTGTGAAGTTTGGCTTCGTTCTTTTTGGTCGGTTGGCTCTGATATGTAGCATCGGGTAGTTAGAAATTCTTTGGTTCTTTTGTGATACATCTGTGTATGTATCTGCTGGAAGTTTTGTAAACATGACTTATGACTTGAATTAAACTGTTTATGTATACAATGTTTATATGAATGAAGTGATTCAATGTTTAGATGTTTCCGCTTTTATTCTAAATATTGATGTGTGGGTTTTAAGGACTAAGTTCCTTTGTGGCGATTTACCCTTTGTTGCATATCTTTATGAGCAGGTGTTGTATGTGTTTTGAATTTCCTGGATAATGTGACGTGCCTCTTTTATACCATGTGTTAATTATACTCTGATGAAAATTTTATTAAGTGCCTAAATGATTTAATTATTTATTTGGGGGTATAGAAAGGGGGTGTTACAAGTAGCATTGAACCTTCTTTTTGTCAAACTTTTCTTTTCCCTTCTGATGTTTCTTCGCATTAGAAATGGATGCTTCTGACTTCTGATAACCACCACCATGTCTCTTCTTGGCATATGACCAAAACTGCTTCTGATTCTTTTTACCAGAAGATACCTTCAGAGCCTAATCTACCTCTCTTTTAAAGGTTTTCCTAGTCATACGTAACTCTTGTGCCTCTAGACTGTTTTGCAACTCTTTAACTCTCATGGGGCTCAGATCTTTAGAATGTTCAATTGCTACAACAATGTAATAAAACTGAGGAGTAAGTGATCTCAGTACCTTTTCAATGATTACTTGTTCAGAGATAGTCTTTCCATAAGATTTCATCTTATTTTTTATCAGAATGACTATGGAGATGTAATAAAGTACCTTTTTATTTTTCTTCATGTTGATATTCTCATACTGCTTACGTAGAGACTGAAATTTCACCTTCTTCACTGATGCATCACCGTCGTAGCATCGTACTCGTGTTTCCCACATAGCCTTCGCCATCATTGAATCAACAATCTTCTCAAACACATTCACATCCACACACTGATGAATGTAGAATAGAGCTTTTTGATCCTTCTTCCCCATCTCTCTATATGTGTTCCTTTGTGATTCAGTTGTATCTACTGCAACCGATGTGTGACCGTCGTTGAAGAAATCATGAATTTCTTGAGCGCCAAACAACATACACATTTGAATCATTCATCGATTCTAATTCTTTCCATCAGAGACTGAAAGCTTCGTGTTCAAGCTACCGATTCTACTGTTCATCTTTGATCTTATGCAAGAATTCACTCAAATCTCACCAAACACTCGTGTTTCTCAATCCCTCAAAATCAAGAAATAAGATTCTGATACAATTTTGAACTTCAAATCACTATGAATTTCAAAACCAAAATCAATCACACACGTCTCACGTTCACTCGTATTTTTCGTTGGTGTTTCTCATGAATTTGAATCGGAGCTCTAGATACCAACTGATGGTGCACAAGAAAGAAGAAAATGAAGATGAAAGAGAGAAAAAAGGGAGAAGAAAATTTAACTAACTTTCTAACAAAAAAATGATTACACTTTACCAGTTACCAATTATTGGACAGCCTTTTTGGTTTTAAACACCAGCCCTAACTAAATAAAATTCAAATACTAATCAAATTAAATTCAAATGAATTACAATCTAACTGGTTTGAGATTGAAGATAATAAAGTTGACGAGGATTGAACTTTGTTTAATGAAATTGCACATTTTTTTGTTCGTTAAAATTTAAGTTTATGGTGCTTAATATTATTAGTAATTATTATTTATAGTTATTAAAAATGAAACAATAATTAAATATTAAAATATAAAAATATCTATTATATATAATCTATAAATTTTAATTAGTATTCCCGAAATATTTTAGGTGAAATATTCACTTTATCATCATCAAAAGCTATTATACATGTTGAGGATATATATATATATATATATATATATATATATATATATATATATATATATATATATATATATATATATATATATATATATATATATATATATATATATATATATATATATATATATATATATATATATATATATATATATATATATATATATATATATATATATATATATATATATATATATATATATATATATATATATATATATATATATATATATATATATATTAGGTGAAATTGATATATAATTTACATTGTTGATCTTCCACATTATTTTTATATAAAAATATTATTATTTATATATATATATATATATATATATATATATATATATATATATATATATATATATATATATATATATATATATATATATATATATATATATATATATATATATATATATATATATATATATATATATATATATATATATATATATATATATATATATATATATATATATATATATATATATATATATATATATATATATATATATATATATATATATATATATATATATATCGCAAAATAAACATATTTTGATGTACAACTGTGCACCGAGAAATTGGCTTTGTTTAAAGCCTAAAATTATTCTTTTAAATATTAAATTTTATATTAGTAATATAATTTTCAAATAAACTTTTAAAAAATTAAATAAAATTATTAATTAATTAATTAAAAATATTATATAATAAATAATCATAATTATTATTGTTAACTTATCTATTGGTTCTGAAAATAAAAAAATTAAAAATTAAAAAACATCAAAGTAAAAGACCAAAAATACATTTAAATCTTTTGAAAATATCATATCATAAATTCACAAGTTCATAATTTAAATTCAAATTTTAAACAAATGTATCACACGTAACAAAATAATACAAAATTACAAAATCTAATTGCAACCAAAATAACAAGGTAACTAATTTGTTACTAACCACAAAGTTACAAATTATTTAGAAAAATGTATTAGCAAAAATAACAAATAGCTAATAAAGTCTGTAATTTGTTACTAACAGAAAAAATTTTATGTGACAATGTTATTTAAGTAATACACTACTAAATATATTTTTTTAAAAAGTTTAAGAAAAAAACAATTAAACCGCCGGTTTTCCCGGTTCGCACCGGTTCAATGGCGAGGCCGATCCGCCAATTGAACCAGACCGGCTAGTGTCCCGGTTCCCGATCCGACCGGCCAGTCCGGTCCGGTTTGGTTTTTAAAACACTGCTTTTTAATGTAGTAATAATTGCTATTTTTTTAATTGTGTCATATAATTATTTCTCTATACACTATTTTCAACACATTAGTAAGACTAATTTAATAAAAGTGTAATATCTTATCACAATATCATTGCATTTTTTAATTAGTGTATAAAAATCTTAAACGCTAGTCATTTTGAAACGGATAGATTACTTGATAAAAATATTATTTCTTTTTCATTATTAAATTTTTCTCAATCATTGATTGTCTGGGTCCCTCATTAGATGGAGATATTTTTATTATTAAATTTTTCTTAATTTTGTTGGGTCCCTCATTTTAAGGATGGAAATAATATATAATAATAAAATAATATAGAAAAGGTTAAGGTTATCATCATAATGGAAAAAATGAACGGTTATCAAAACAACAAACAAACCAAAACCAATCTTCCAAATGTTCTTGTAATAGGTCCTCCAAAAACCATAGGACCCCTCAAACCCAACCAACCTCAAAACTACAACTTATCAAAACCATGGGATCCCAACTCACAACCACTAGAACACTTCATGGTTGAAAACAAATATGATCCATCAATGTTTCAAGCCCTCATTTGTTATCCATTAGGTCCTCCCATCAATGACACTTTTCTTCAAAATTTTCCTTGTTTGAAGCTTGTTGTCACCACGAGCAGTGGAACAGATCACATAGACCTTGGTGTTTGCAAATGTCGAGGTATTCGAGTTGCCAATGTAGGTAGTGTGTACTCAGAGGATGTTGCTGATGTGGCTGTGGCTTTGCTCATTGGAGTTGTGAGCAAAATTTGTGCAGCAGATAGATTTGTTAGAACAACCATGCGGTTTAACTTTCCATATTGTTCTAATTCTAAGGTTTGTTTAGTTTCTTTTCTTTGTCCGTCTTTTATTGGTTATAAAACAGGAATTGAAGATAATGCCTTGAAAAATAGGAATATAATTATTTTTATAATTAATATATAATATGAGAAAGAAAAAATATTTTTTTTAATATAAATTTAATACAAACACTGTTGAAAGTAGTCATCAAAATTTGAAAAAGATGTTATAATGGATCACATTTTTATTTTTAAAATATTGATATAATTTAATAATTTAATATTTGTAATACTTCTTTACACTAACAATGCATATTTTTAAATTTATAAAAAAAATATGAATTTTATAATTAAAAACATAGAAAGTGAACACTCTTATATCCCACATTCAATTATTTAACGTCATAACTTATAAATAATTGTCCCCACATTTTTTAGTAAAAAGAACAAAAAAACAAAAAACAAAAAAAAAAGTAATTGTTTTACAACATTACTTGGTGAAAAATCAAACTTCACGAGATTCCTTTAAAAAAGGAAAAGAATAAGACAAGTTTGTCTTTAATCTCCTTAATGAATGTTCATGATACCAAAATTGAAGATAAATTAAACTCATTTTTTCTTGACATTGTGTTTCCAGCTAAGGGGAAAGCGAGTTGGAATTGTTGGATTAGGAAGCATTGGCATGGAAGTAGCTAAAAGGTTAGAAGCTTTTGGATGCATTATTTTGTACCATTCCAGGAAGAAAAAGCCCTTTGTTACATACCAATTTTATTCAAACATGTTTGAACTTGCAACTGCTAGTGATGCATTGGTTCTATGTTGTTCACTAAATGAACAAACAAGGCATATTGTTAACAAAGAAGTGATGTTAGCATTGGGAAACAAAGGTGTTATAGTGAATGTTGGAAGAGGGTCCTTAATTGATGAACAAGAGTTGGTGAAATGTTTGATGGAAGGACACATTGGTGGTGCTGGTTTGGATGTGTTTGAGAATGAGCCTAATGTTCCTCAACAACTTTTAGCATTGGACAATGTGGTTCTGTCACCTCATAATGCTGCTTTTACTATTGAAACTTTCATGGCTGCAACTCAAATTGTTGAAGAGAATCTAGAAGCCTTTTTCACCAATAAGTCCTTAGTCACACAAGTTCATTTGAATTGACGATCTTATTAACGATGAACAAGTGAGATGTCCCATATTCAAACCACATCTAATGTCTCTATCAACTGAATTGTCTTAATGGAACAGATTGAGCAACTTATTTATGCATTTAAGAGTGTGTACTTAAAAATAAATGCACTACAATCATGTTTTCCACTGTGCTACCTTATGATTTCTCTTTCTAAAATATAATATATGCAAACATTCAAATAACTTCACAAAACCATACAAGTAAACTAGCTCTCAAAGAATACATAAAATTATAATTCAATGTCTAGTCCATTCTTAGCATCAAATTGTACAATGAAGGCTCTTTATAGTAAACAAGGTATACTATTTATTGTACCTTGTTTCAAATTAGTGAGAATGGTGTAAACAAATTAAATGAATGAAAAGCAAAGAATGAACGACAATGGCGTGGGAAAGAGACGATGAGGTAAGAGCAGATAGAACACAAGCATTGCCTCTATATCACTTGGACAATTTAATCATATACTCTAACAAGGCACTTCACTTGAAATTGCCAAGTTAGAAAGGAGAGATAAGGTTGAGGGTATATGAAGGAAAAAAGAGTCTTCTTTGTATTTAGGACTTTGTGTTATCAAGACCATTCACTTAGCTTACAGTTCTTAAGATAAGGATGGTTATATTTGACATATTTGGTCCAGTAAGGGCGATATTTTGTCATGGCTATTTCTAACCATGGTTTCATATTACCGTTGTAGTGAACAACTGCTGCATTCTCGATTTCTGTACGATCTATACTTGGACTGTACCCCAAACCCAGTACATGCCATGATTTGTTTAGCGGATGTGTTAATCCATAGAATGTCATTAGCCCTGGAGGTAATGTACCTAATTTCCATAGTACCCTGTCTTCATTCTGAAATCAAACATGAAAAAATTGTCAGTCAAAGAATTGATTTTAATTTTATTTATGCGAAAATAGACTGAGCAGGACTCTCTAAAGTCAAGAGAAGCACACAGTCACGCATCAAGGAATCTCGACTGTTGGATGATGATCAGAAGATTCACATTCTAAAATCTTCAAGTTAGTTTTAAAATACAATTTGGAATATGAGTCATCTGATATCAAATGGCCGAGATTTGTGGTTGCATGTATGACTATGTGTGACTGCAGAGAATCCATCTCTGAGAATAGACACATGATGTTAACCGATGTTATGTTCAACTGCTTACCAGATTCTGCCACCTGTGATATATGCCAGTAATGTCCTTCTTTTTCCACACCTTCAAATCAAACATGTTCATTCCGTATGCCCAACCACAAGCGTTGGGATCAAAGTTTTTCGCAATATGTGGATTTGAAAAATTAAGGTACTTGTCAAACCTATGAAAGCTCTCACCACATGTTTCAACGGCACCATTTACTTTTCCATGAAGATCCACAGCCCATAATCCAGTCAAATCCTTCTGGACAACAATGTCATCGTCAAGAAAAAGAATCTTATCTAATTTTGGATAAACTTGTGGAAGATAGAACCTCAGATGGTTAAGCATTGAGAGATATTTTGGATTTCTGTACTTGAGATTAGAAGCACCAGTAGTGGTTGGATGGCCTGCCTTGAAATAATACTCTTTCATTGTCGCAGATTCAAGCTGTTTCAGGACTGGGCAGTAGGATGAGTTCAACCACTTAAACTCGTCAACATTTTCAACAAAGATTGTAGCTTTTCCAGGAGGATTCAACAAAAACCACATGTTCATGGCTCCAAAATTTAGTTTATCCGTAACAAGGTGAAAGACATGCTTTGAAGAATCCTACATTGTCAAAGACAACACCATAAGATAATGAGTGGATGTGTTTAATTCTATTATTTATAAGATAATAGATAGACTATTGCAAGCAAAGCACATGGATCAATCTCTCAAAAACCACGTGGACCCAAGCTCAAATTATTCATTATCTGTAAAAAGGAATGCGCTTGAAAAAAATACACAAGCATGTATTTATCATAACGGACGGTTAGTCATTTACCTTTGCATTCAAAACAGCTGAGTTGACAACAACAGATGCAGCCAGAACATTGTCTGAGAATAGGGCATAATGATAAAGACTGGGATTAACCAAATTCTCAGTCTTAGGGAACTTTCTCTTTTCAGGTGGAAGGAGGTAGTAATCTATGGTAAGGCGCATCGATAAGCAGTGAATTCCATTTGGTATGGTCTTGGCAGCCAACTGACTAAGAAATGTGCTTTGTTTCTTCAAGCCTCTAACTTGCTCATCAGCAGTTTGTAGCATTGCCCTCAATTTCCCAGTAACCAACTTGCAGTCATACAATTTATCTTTAGCCTTAGAAAGAATTTGACCCATAGCTTTCATTTTTTCATGTTCACTAAAGATGATTAATTAAGTCAGTAAATACAAACAAATGCAGATATTTATAAATTTACTGAAAATTGAGCATACCTTTCGTGCAGGTCAGCATCGGAAGTTGCCTCACCTAAAGCACGCTGACTCTCTTTAAGCCGTGTTAGCAGCTCTTGGTACAAGTCAAGCTTGTTCTTCATCTTCGCAATACTCAAGTATACCCTAGCCATAATGATCTGATCTCGCATCAACCGAACGGTAGAATCATTCTCATTTTCATTTTCTTTCCTCCAAATGTTGTATTTACCTAGAACTGCTGAATCAACTGATTTTGAACGTTCAATAGCAAAATCTTCAAGTTTTACAATAACTTCGTCATCCTGTTTTACCAACTCAGCAGCACGCTTGGCCATCCTTTTCTCTATTAATTGCTGCAGAAGATAATAACAAGGAACAAAACAAAGTTTATTTCAAGGATGATTTTTGTTGTTCCCTAGGTATACTCAAATACAAGTTAAACAGAATTTTCAAAAAGACCAGAAAAATATTGGGGGTAAATGGTAGACAGACGTTTTCATTCAAAAGTAGTTTGGGAATCTTCGGCAACAAGGAATTTTATTATAAGAATTAATTTTATTATAAGAATGAGTTTGTCAGGATAGCCTGAGGTAATACCTCTAGCCTATAATATCAATTTATCAAAAAGTGGATAAAACTTAATTTGACATGATATTTATATTGTAAGGACAAAACTATGAAATGCCAATTTGTTTAGCTCAACTTATGTTCACACGGATGTAACAATTAGAACAAGCATGTCATACTTCAAGATTACTGTAATTGTAGGTTGGAGTCTGAGAGTGATTGTCATTATCTGTATGTGGTTAGGCTTTTTCCATAACTACCACAACCACCGAGTTAAAAGGTGTGGGAGATTACTTTTTATTACAAGCATAACTTTGTTGATGGTGTCCAAAATGCTATGTAACTTAAAAACGTAAAATATCCAAGAATTGTGCTCACCCTTCTGGCTAACTTTCCGGGACTATCATTCCACTGAGGAAGAGCAACTGCATTAATAAATAAAAAAATAGTGAGTAAAATAAAATAAAACATAGGCAAAATAACCGATAGTAAGTGACATAACCTGAAGATCTTCCTTCCTTCTCCTTTTGCATTTCTTGGCTAAGATGTGTTTCTGGTTGGTTTAGCTTTAGTTAAAAAATAAAAAAGGATTAACATTTAGTAGCAATAAGACAAAAATGCAGGAAATCAAAGTCTCGGGCAAAAAGCACATCAGTAATCCTAACCTGATACGTAGAATTTGAAGTCTTTAACCCAACAACTCTCCATGAAGCAGAAAGATTATTTCTGAAATTTTCTAGACTCAAAGGCCCCATATCATTTGTGCTAGACATGATAACATCAAGTACCTAAAATATAATATTCATTAGAAGACAGGGAAGTTAACTTTTGCACAAAAAATATTATGAGATACAAAACAAGAGTAATGCTAGCTTGTGCTTGCCTCTTTTGGAAAAAGCGATGTAAGGTCACGTAGCGCCTTCTGTTCTCTCCATTTGGAAGCCTGCAACAACCAACAACATAGGGTAAAAAAAAATGGCTAGATGTTGTATGCATTCGGTTGTATAACTATTAATGAACCTTAAAATATATATAACGGCCTACCTGTTGACTTGTAACATCTGAAACATCATTGTGATCTGCATAATGTATTTGAAGTAATTACTTTAACATAAACACGTATAAATGCAAAAATAAGAAAAATTCATAGCAACGTCACTCATATCATTACAATAATATTCTCCTATTTCTTCCTCCTAACATCAAGGGCATTACACTATATCTTAAATTTCATAATTTGAAAATCTCCAACAAAAAAAAATGAGGATTTGCAAACAAACAGAGCTAGGTTTGTTTATCCTAAAACCGGATAAGGTCAAACTTTCTAGAGCATTCATATAATAGAAGAATAATAAGACTTTGAAACACCAATGAGTTATAAACCGAGGATCAAAAGCACAAGTACAAAACAGAAACAGTAGCATAAGCAAAGTGAGATACATTTTATGAAAACCATTATCCATGACATACAGTTATGAGAAAACTTGCTTACATGTAAGTATCAAAAGTTGCGACTCATCAAATCAACCACTATAGCTATTCCCTATCAACAGTCCCACTTAATAACAACGCCATAGTGATTCAAATTCCAAACCACCCAAGTATCTAAACTCCATAAAATTGAGTTATTGACAAATGACACCCCAAATCTCATCAACATAAAGATGCCAAATCATGAAACAGATGATATCTCAACACAGAAAGAACATCTAGAAAAAACGAAATTACGGAATAGTGAAGTATAAATAAAACAAACAAAAAGTTAATTGTACTACTCAACACTTGCATAAGAAGCATAGATCTAGCAACCCTAAAAAACAGAAACTCGTTAACTAAATCCATAACAACAAATTAAAAGCGAGAAATCTTCCACTACAGTCACGAATTGAAAAAACAAACACAAGAAAAACACCGAGAAAGATAAAGATAATAAATTAACGAATACCCATTTCCCAATTTTAATCAAGGATCTTATAACACGTAACACATAAGAAAATGAAGATTAAAAAAATTAATAATTTAAAATGGAATCAAGAAGCGAGAGTGAGAGAAAGTATGAACCGGATGAAGCAGTGTAAAGTGATGATGCGAAGAAGAAAACGAGAGGTGCGAGAAGACAAAGGAGAACGAAACCGAGAAGAGGAAAAGGAGATCCTTTGCTTCTGTTGTTGAGCGGCATTATGGATCAGAGAGAAAGAGGCATTTAGAGAGAGAGAGGGATCTGAATGAGAACAAAATTGTTAGGGTTTATGGCGAAATGGTATTAGGCTATGTTAGTGCAAATCGAAACAAACAACAGCGCAGATTGAAAGAAAGGTGGAAGCAGTGTTGTTTGTGTGTGTGAAACTGTGAATCTAATCTATCTTTGTTGAAGATGTGATTTTAGTTTTTGTTTTTGGGTTTCTTTTTTTAATAATTAGCAAAAACAAAAATTCCTTTTAAAAGTGTTTTCTTTCTTAACTTTCTCTCTAGCTGTCATCTTCCTTTCCTATTACTGTCGGTTATCTTTTTTAATTTTCAATAGTATTCATTATTTTTATTAATGTGTTGTTAATAAATTTATATTTTTTATAATTTATGATTAATATTATATGAATTTAATTGGAATCCTTATAATGTAAAATAGTGTAAAATATTAGTTAATTGTGACCATTAAATTTTAAATGATGTTCGACTTAATTAATTATAAAATAATATTACATATGAACAATTATGATGTTCGCATTATCTTCGACGATTATAATGTGATGTGTGAAGTAGAAAGTTAGATGAATGAGTTTTATCTAAAGTTATGTTTTTTAAATAAATTTTTAAAGACGAAAACTTTATTAGTGGTGGAGAGTTGTAACACCCAAAAGTTTTATTTGAAATTTTTTTCCAAAAATTTTATTTGAAATTTTTATTCAATTTTTGATTAATTTATTAATTATTTATATGTTATTTTTAGAATAATAATAATTTAATTAAGAGTTTATTTATATAAAGATATTAAAAATAATAGAAATTATAGGTTTATAATTAATTTTAATAGAGTGAAGTTATAAAATAAAGGAGGTAGGAAAAAGAGAATAATTAGAATTGAAAAAAATTAGTGATATTAAAATAAATAAAGTAAAATTAAGATTTTATTATATAAGAATGAGGGGAGTTATGAGTTTACGTATCAGTTGAAGAAAGATGAGAAAAGAGGTAGACTCTAGAAGATAGAAGTGCAAATTGAAATTTCTCATTGCCAAGGACTCAAAATTTTCTGCTTTATTGAGGTAGAAAAATATTATTCTATACTAGGTATTTAAGCTTATGGAAAGTGGGGATTCATTTTACCCTTTTTTTTCTTTTTTTGGATCGTTGATATTGAATCATGTAAGGTTTGCGCAAAACCATTCTGATTATGTTGTGTTGTGATTCTAATTTTACTTTGTTAATGAATTACATGTATATATGTGTTGAGTTTGTATTATTGATGTTCATATGAATATATGATGATTTGATGAATACATATGAGTGATTGATGTTATGTGTATTGAAATTGCATTCCTTTTTATGTGAAAATTATCGTTTAATTGTGGATGTCGAATTCTGGAATTTGAATTGTCATGAATCGGATAAAATTGGAGATCTGAGACTGTTTTAACGGAGAAAATGCAAAAAAAAAAATGCATTTTGCCAACGATGACGAGCGTCACCTTAGGTGACAGTCCAAGCATCATCGCGTCGGAGAAAAAGGTGTGTCTCGTCTAACTTACGGGAGTCGGCGACCTTGACAGGCGACCCTCCCAAACCGTTAGCGCCTCATGACGAGCGTTATTCCTCCATATCGTCAGCGAGGACGGGTAGCACACCTAGAGGGTGACAGTGGCCGACCGTCAGCCCTGTTTAATAGAATGTAAATGTTTGACTCAATTTTTCATAAGAATTATGATCCTTCAACTTGTTTAATATCATTTAAGTGATAGTTATTGAGAAAAAAGTTTTGATTTTTATGATCAACTTAATTGATAGCCAACTCGTGAGTATGCAATGTTGAGTATTTATGGTTTAGGTTCAAGGTGAACCAATGTTTAGCCTTAACCGACAGTGTTGATATGTCTAGGTTCATAAGAACCAGCGTTAGCCTTACTAGGCAGTGTTAATGTTGGAGTATGAGGTTTTGATGGAGAATTTCATTGTTTGTGACATCTTGCATCATGTATATCAGAGTTAGCTTAGGAATTCGGTCCAATATTTAGGACTTTGGTTTTGTGTTATAATCACTCAGTAACATACATATGATATCCAGTGATTGGTACCACATGCATTGGAGTGGAGAAAATAAGCAACATATAATTAATTTTGTCTATGTTGTGAATTGTATATTTGTGTTGATTATAAATAATGTTGTGTATTATCCTTATTATTTTTGCACCATTTAATTTATGGAATGTATTCTCACCCTTTCTTGTTTCCATGTTTCTACCAATGCACTTTATGCAGCTAATTCTTAGGTTGATACTGGGGAGTGATAGATATTGTTTTGTAGAGGATGACATAGTTGGCCTCTTTAGTTTGTTTTGTTTCTGTTTTATGTTTTCGTCGGACCTTTGCCAGTTACTAGTATTATTTTGGATTTTGCTCTGATATTGTAACATCAAGTTGGAAATACTTTGTTATGTCTTATGACTTGTTTCAAATTGATTTACTATGATATGCTTCAAGTTTAAATTCTACATTTGGAATAAAAGTTGAATGTTTTGTCAACGTGACACCCTTATCGCATCTTAATATATTATACAATGTTTTATAAATTATTATTGGGATTTAGGGTGTTACATAGTTAGTATCAGAGCCTGATCGGTCCACCCGACCTTGTGTTTTATAAGTATATAATACCCGCACGCACGACATGGGTACTAACCCTATCAATGTTATTTTTCCCGTAACCGCTATTTAATTTACTGTTGATGTTGGTTTATGGTTGGTTGTGCACAAAGAAATGGCTGGCAGAAATGATTGTGAGATTGTGTGGATGCTCTATAAGCAATGGTATGCGCCCCGAGATTAAGTAGTTTATTGGATATCAAGAGATTCACCATTTCTCTGTGTTGATTAGCAGGTGCATAATTCATGAAAAAGACAACAGAGCAAGATCTACTCACTATAAGAGTGCGAATGAGAAGAGATTTGCTAATCAAAATCATGGCAAACTATATGCAAATCTGAGTGCCAAGGGAAGTTAGAAAGCTACAACCAATAATGGAACTAGTGTGGGAGGTGCTACTTTTCCTACGAGGTATGAAAGGTTAGGTTATCATGTCTCTAAGTGTAAGAATACAACTCCAATGTGTTTCAATTGTTGAGAATAGGGTCACATCTGCACATACTATCAGAAGTCGAATAAAGGATCCGCAGGTTAGCACGCTTAGGCCCATGGAAAAGTTTTCTGCTCTTAGTGATGTCGAAGCCTTAATGTTAATTCGATTAAGGGTACATGTTTCATAAATTGTATCTCTTTAATTGCTATCATCGATACGGGTGTGATAAATTCGTTCATATGACGCGATTGTGCTACACATGTTAAACCCAAAAGTGTCTCTTATGAAGCGTGATATGATCATTGATACCACGAACAATAGTTCTCCAACCACATCGTTAATATGTCTAAATTGTCTCATGTTCATTTATAGTTTACAAAAATTGAAGTTGACTTGATTGTTTACCCCTAAGTTAATTAGATGCTATTTTGGAAAGGATGCGGTTCGTTCAACCATGTTCACATAAATTGTTTTGATAAAGTTGTGTAGTTTCCAGAGTCTTACGGGAGTGAGTATATTTTGAGATTTATATCCGCCAACCAAGTAGAAATGTCCTTGAAACAGTATGCTCAAGTGATCATGATACTAGCTTCCTTGAAAATAGATAGCAAGTTTCAATCGCTAGTCTTTCTGTTGTGTGCGAATTCTCGAATGTTTTTCCTGATGATATTGATAATTTGCCTTTTGAACGTGAAGTCGAGTTTGCAATAGATTTAGTATCTAGTACTATACCTATATATTTGGCACCGTTTAGAATTTCTGCATCTGAATTGAATAAGCTCAACAACCAGTTATAATATTTGGTATAGAAGAAGTTGTCATACCTAGTATATCGCCTTAGGGAGCGCTAGTGTTGTTGGTAAAGAAGAAAGATGGAAACATAAGATTACGTGTGGATTATCGGCAATTAGATAAGGCCACTATTAAGAAACAATATCATTTCTTGAGGATTATTGATCTCATGGATCAACTTGTATGAGCTCATGTGTTTAGCAAGATTGATATAAGGTCAGGTTACCATTGAATTCGAGTGAATTTGGAGGATATACCTAAGACTGCATTCAGAGCCCGTTACGGTCATTATGGGTGTTTAGTTATGCCTTTCGGTGTGTCTAATGCACCTGAAGTATTCATGGAGTATATGAATAATGTTTTTTACTCTTACTTGGATCAGTTTTTCGTAGTGTTTATATATTATATCCTTGTATACTCCCAGTTAGGCAAAAAGCATGTAGAACATCTTAGAGTTGTGTTACAGACTTTAAAAGAGCCAAACTGTCAATTTTGGTTAAGATAGGTAAGTTTCCTTAGGCATGTGATCTCTAGTGGTGGTATGATAGCGGATCCATTTAAAGTAGACACATTCTTTAAGTGGGAAACCCCTAAGTTGGTTACTAAAATCAAGAGTTTCTTGGGTTTGGCTGGTTATTATAGGAAGTTCATTAAAGGATTTTCGATGTTGGCTTTGCCTTTGACCCAATTGACCTAGAAGAAACAAGTTTATGTTTGGGATGTTTTGTGCAAAGAGAATTTATGAGAGCTCAAAAAGAGGTTGACGTTGGTGTCACTCTTGATTTTTCCAAATATGAGTGAATCTTTTGTGGTATATTGTGATACATCCAATATGGGTTTAGGTGGAATGATTATGCAAAAAAATTAAGTTGTAGCTTATGCTTATAGACAACTCAGGACTCATGAAAGGAAATATTCTACCCATGATTTAGAGTTAGCAACAATGTTTTTTGTACTTATGATTTGGAGGCATTATCTTCACGATTCGAGAATTTAGGTTTTCAACAATCATAAGAATCTGAAGTATCAGTTTGATTAGAAGGAGTTGAATATGAGGAAGAGAAAGTGGTTAGAGTTTTGAAGGATTATAACTTCG